TGTTCTCCTGTTCAGCCTGTCCACAGCCTCCCGAGTGTTCACGAAAAGCATGGTGGTGGTGGTGGCCTTTCTGCGGAAAAGGCAAATTCGAGTGTACCTGTACCTCGACGACTGGCTACTCATTCCAAGGACGAGGTCCAGTCCCACGTGACGATTGTCATGGACACGTTTCACAGACTGGGGCTCCTTCTCAATGTACCCAAATCATCAGTCAGACCTACCCAAAGGATAGAGTTTATAGGGGCAGTCCTGGACTCGGTACGGGTGAAAGCGAGCCTTCCGGAGGTTCCAAGCCATAGAGCAGATTGTCAAATCAATGCTTCAATATCTCACCACGACAATCAGGTGTTGCCTGCAGCTAAAAGGGCATATGGCAGCATACACGTACGTGGTCAAGCATTCCCAACTGAGACTCAGGCCCATGCAAGCGTGGCTCGCACTGTCTTACCGTCCATACCGAGACCCTCTGGACCTTGTGGTGATGATCCCGGGACAGGTTCTAGAATCCCTGCGCTGGTGGCTGGACTGACCCGTGGTCTGTGCAGGGGTCCCCTTCGCCAAGCCCCAACCTTCTCTGACCTTAGTAATAAACGCAGCAGATCTGGGCTGTGGCGCACACTTAGGGGCTCTGAGGACACAAGGCTTGTGGTTGAGGGACGAGATACCTCTCCATATCAACCTGAAGGAGCTCAGGGCAGTTCGTCTGGCCTGCCAAACGTTTCATGCCACTTTGCAAGGTCACAGCGTGACAGTCCTGACAGACAACACCACCGCCATGTTCTATATAAACAAACAAGGCGGAGCTTGCTCCTCGCCTCTCTGCTCTTCTTCTCTGGAACTTCTGTATAGCCTGATCCATTCAGCTCGAAGCATCCTACCTTCCAGGAGTACGGAACGAGTTGGTGGATCGCCTCAGCAGGTCATACCACATGCACGAGTGGTCAGTCAGCTCGGACATCATACAGTCAGTCTTCCAAAAGTGGGGTTATCCCCAAGTAGACCTCTTTGCCACCAAGAGCAACAGACAGTGCCCTCAGTTCTGTTCATTCCAATACCACAGTCTGGACTCCATTGCCAATGCGTTCTTAATAACATGGGGCAAGGATCTGAAATATGCCTTCCCTCCTATCCCGCTCGTCCACCGGGTCCTCCTCAAAATTCGCAGAGACAAGGCAACGGTAATCATGATCGCCCTGTCTTGGCCCCAACAGCATTGGTATTCAACCCTGCTGGAACTGTCCATAGATGCCCCGCTTGCCCTGCCCCTCCACCTGGATCTGATCACGCAGGACCAAGGGCGCCTCCGTCACCCGAACCTGCAATCTCTACATCTCATGGCATGGAAACTCCATGGCTAAATCCATGGAGAGCCAGTGCTCTCAGTCGATGAGACAAATTCTCCTCGGCAGTAGGAAACCTTCCACTAGGGCTACCTACCTGATGAAATGGAAAAGGTTTTCCTGTTGGTGTGAACCCAAGCACCTTCAACCACTCCAGGCTCCCATCCCAGTTATTTTAGACTACTTCCTACATCTTAAGCATCAGGGTCTATCCCTTTCCTCCATCAGAGTATACCTGGCAGCCATTTCAGCTTTCCATCCAGGGGAGTCTGGGCACTCGGTGTTTTCTAATCACATCATGGGGCGATTCCTCAAAGCTCTGGAGAGGGTGTTCCTGTATTCTTGCCCACCAGTCCCAACCTGGAACCTGAACCTGGTCCTCTACAAACTCATGAGCCCACCATTTGAGCCCCTGGCCACTTGTTCCTCCTCTACCTTTCTTGGAAGGTGGCGTTCCTGGTGCCATTACATCGGCAAGGAGGGTGTCCAAGCTGAGAGCCCTCACCTCCGAACCACCTTACACGGTGTTTCATAAGGACAAGGTGCAGCTTAGATCACACCCCAAATTTCTCCCCAAGGTGGTCTCCCAATTCCACATGGGTCAGGACATTTGCTTACCGGTGTTCTTTCCAAAACCACACGAGCCCGAGACACCGCAGCGTACACACGCTGGATGTCCGGAGAGCCTTGGCGTTCTACATAGAGCGCACAAAAACTTTCCGCAAGTCGACTCAATTTTTCGTCGCCATAGCTGAGAGAATGAAGGGCCTTCCTGTCTCTGCACAACGTATATTGTCCTGGATCACAGACTGCATTCGCATGTGCTATGAGCTGGCCAAGGGCCCAGCCCCAGCGATTACGGCCCATTCAACCAGAGCGCAGGCATCTTCGGCAGCCTTTCTGGCTCAAGTCCCTATCCAGGAGATCTGTAAAGCAGCCACCTGGTCTTCAGTGCGCACGTTTACAGCCCACTGTGCTATTAACCAACAGGCCAGAGATGATGCAGCGGTTGGCAGAGCTGTTCTTCAATCAATCGTTCCATGACTCCTACCCTCCTCCAATGGTAAGCTTGGAAGTCACCTAATTGGAATGGACGTGAACAATCACTCGAAGAAGAAAAGATGGTTACTTACTTCTCGTAACTATTGTTCTTTGAGATGTGTTGTTCACGTCCATTACAATACTCACCCCCCTTCCACTCTGTCGGAGTCAACAGCAAGAAGGAACCGAAGAGGGGTCGGGCCGGCAGGGTAATATATACACTGCCATAAGGGTGCCACTCTAGGGGGCTCCCCTGCCGGCCCGACGGGACCTGCTAAGGGAAAAGTTTCTGACGTCCGTGCATGCAGCACGCACATACCTAATTGTAATGGAAGTGAACAACACATCTCAAAGAAAATTCTGAGCGGTAAGTAACCGTCTTTTGCTAAAATATAGCAACTGTCAAAGCCCAGGTCAAAAAAGTTCTCACCTGTTTAAAAAAAAAAAACACCAAAAAACAAAACACTTCTTCAAGCTTTCATAGAGAAATAAATATTGCAGTTTAAAAATGTGAGCAACTTAAATACGTCAGCTGCTCGTAACTTGCAATTAAAAAAAAAATCCTTCAAAAGTATAAAACCAATTAAAAAAAATTCAAAAGCTCAGAAAGCAAAGCTAAGCCAAGCAACTTTAAAATATTTTAGTCTCTCATAATAAACTATTTACAACATAACAAAACCCCCACAAAATTAAAAACAATAAGAAAATGTATGAATATAATAAATTAGCTTTTAAAAAATCCACTAAAAATCCATCTAAATCTTCAATTCAAAACTGCAAAGCTAACACACATACTTTTTGGGCAGCAGCCATCATCTTGTGGCAGTCTTAACTTTATGCAGTGTAGTTGTAGCCATGATGGCCCGAAGACATTAGAGAAGGTGGATGAGGTAATAATATCTTTTATTGGATCAACTTCTGTTGGTGATAGAGACAAGCTTTTGAGGGTCTGAATGTCTGACTTTTGAAGGTCTGAAGAAGAGCTCTGAGTGGTTCAAAAACTTGTTTCTCTCCAACAAATCTGGTCCAACAAGATTTTTACCTCACCCATCTTGTCAGTCTTAACTTCGTTAGTTAACTTTTGAGTGTCTCAGTGCTTTTACAAAGTTAAAACATTAAAAAAATTTAATTATAAATATTAAATATAAATTAATAAATAAAAACCAACATACTAAAAAACCCCATCCCCTTTTCATTAATAAAACAGCTAAAAAAGCTACAAAAATATTAATATATAATTAAGTAAATGTAACTAATGTAATATTATAATGAAGGCTCTATTTGATCACTTAGCCTCATTTGCCTTAGCCCACTTAGCTATGAAGGTTGTCTTTCTAGTTGCCATCATTTCAGCTAGAAGAGGAGGTGAACTGGGGACCCTTTTGGCTGATCCTCCTTGCACGATCTTCCACAGAGACAAAGTTTCCCTGAAATTATACCCAAAATTCACCCCCCAGAGTAATCTTGGAATTTCATCACAGACGACTCACTTACCTGTGTTCTTCCTGAAGTTATGTGCCACCACTGAGATTAGGAAACTTCACTCTCTGGATGTTTGTCATGCCCAGGCATTCCACCTGAAAAGGACAGAATCCTTTAGGAAACCACCTAGACTATTTGAATCCTTTGTGGAATGTATGAGAGGGGAAGAGATCTCTTCTCAGAGACTTTTCCAAATGGATTTCAGGGTGCATGTGCTTTGTTATGAGTTATCAGTGACCCCTCCCTTACAAGGTGTCAGGGCCCACTTAACTAGACCTGAGGCTGCAGCAGTAGTCTCACTTCAAGATGTCTCTCTCCTGGAAATCTGTAAGGCAGCATCATAGGGCTCTGTTCACATTTTTGCAAGACTTAATATCCTGGTTCAAGCTTCTACAGCTGATGCATTCTTTGGAAGAGCAGCCCTCTATCATTGATCCAGCACGGTTCCTTACACCCTCCTTCTCAACAAATATTGCTCGTGAACCACCACAGTGAAATACAAATAGGGACCATCGCTTAAAGAAGAAAGGAAGACTTACCTTGTGCAGTAACTGGAACTCTTTGATATGTGTGGTCCCTATCTGTATTCTACTATGCGGCCTCCTTCTCCTCTTATGGCTATTTGTGGTAGAAAGGTAACTGGAGAGGCAATTGGTCTGCACCTCCCCTTATGCCCAGGAGGAGGAGCAGGGTGCAGGTGTGGACAGATGGATACTGCTAACAAGAATCTTCCAGTCTCAAGCACCTGGAGCACATGCACACCTCACACTGCAACAGACATAGGGATCACACATCTTGAAGAACACCAGTTACTGTACAGGTGAGTAACCTTGCTTTATACTTTCAAGCTGCAATCAGCTCTTATTTAACACCATAAATATGTACCTGAAGGCTGTGCTAATTTATGTCCCTTGACTGCCCCCGGATCAAAATGCAAAGGCGGATTTAATTCACCTTTGCCCTCCACCTTCTCATGTGCTGTACTGGGCACAGTTTGGCCAGATCTAAGAATCTGGCCACTGTATTTAAAGCTACAATTCTTTAGTCTTAGCCTTCGTTAATCAGTTGAATCTTGTATTTGTACTTCAGAAACATGAACTGTCCCAACTGAACTTTTTTTGTGCACTTTTTATGTAGAATCACAGCAGCTACGCATGTTCACGATGCCAGCAGCAGATCCCATGCCATCTTCACCATTCAATACACTCAGGTTAGCTAAAAATTCCAATCTCCTTTTTTTCCCCCTCCCAAAGAACATTGTTTAGCATACTGTACAGAGTTTGTTCTACTTTCTGTAACCTCGGTAGAAATTATGCTACTTAATTCCTTTGGATTGTACGCCAAATTTTGTTCCACTGCCTACACCAACTTGAAGGCTTTGTACTTGTTGAAGTTACCTTGTTTCCTTGTGCCATCTTATGGTTAGGAGTGAAGCCAAAGGCTCCTTGTGAGAGGAAAAAAAATTAAATTGAAAACTGATCTTTATATTGCAATACCACTCCAACAATGTTGTGAAAATTCATGTGTGGTAATGTGTTTGCAGTTTCACTACCTTTTGTACTCTGTAGTTACTACTTACTGATTAGGATCTTAATATAAAGAGTAGCATTTTAATGCCTCCTCTGAATTTTTTGTCTTTCTGGGATTTCTGTATTCATCTCCTAAGCACCTTGGTGCATAGTGTGCTGTATCTGATATAATACATCCTTTTTCTGGGGGACTGTATCCTACACTGTCAGGAAGATGGTCTCAGTGATCTAATAGATCTTTTCCATCTCGCTCTTCTAATATCCTGTAATATTAGAACATTCAAGATATTTTTCAGTAGTTGCACAAAAGAACCTTGGAATATAGTAATAGTGATTTTGTCAGGTCTCGAAGAAAATCTTTTCATACAGTCACAAGGTAGTGAGATTTGCTCAAGAGAGAATGATCATAAGAGTGGGCTTTGCATGTAAGTTAAGAGAACTACTGGGTTGATGTTTTGACTGTACTGTATGGCCCAAGGTCACATAATAAGTAGAAGTGCCAGAAATACAACTCTTCAATAGAACACGTAGCCTCTTGTATTTTCATAAGTTTGAATTGAAAAATTTTGATTTATTTTTCCCTTCAGGCTATACTGGAGAACAATCTCCCTTCTGAAATTGCAAGCAAGATCAACCTGGTGGACCTTGCAGGCAGGTAATAATGAAGTGAGGGGAAAAAGCTCTATTAAAATATTAACTGCTGTATTCCATACAATTGATGATACTGATGATTTAAAAAAAGGAAATTACATTTTAAAAAACTGCATTAAAATAATGCGAAGTATGACTTCTGTATATGAAAGCAAGGAGGATATTGAGCTAAAGTTGCCACTCTGTCATGTATCGTTTTGTTTTGGGAGTAGGGTTTCATTGGACCGATATCCATTACGAGCAATGCATTCACCAAAACCATATGCAATAACGGTGAACTAAGACCAGTATTCTTCCCACTACCACACAGCACAGAAGGGAGTAAAAGAGGAAGTTACTCACCTTGTGCAGTAACGAGGGTTTTCAAGATGTGTGTCCAGGGCCGGCTCTAGCTTTTTTGCTGCCCCAAGCAAAAAAAAAAGGGCGGCCGGACTGCCGAAGCAAAAAAAAAAAACGGCAGCCGCAGGGAGCGCGTGGAGGGCGGTCAAGGCAGCTTGAGGGGAGTGAAGCGCGGTGCCTTGCAGCTGGGCGAGAGGGGCTCCCCCCTCCAGCCTTGGGGTGCCTCTCCCGGCCGGGCAGGCAGAGTCCCTGGGGGCTGCAGGAGGTGCTGGCTCAGCCGCTCCTTTAAAGGTGGCTCGGCTGGGCCGGGCTCAGAGCGGCGCGGGAGGCGGAGGCTGTTGCAGGCAGCAGGGAGTGGCACATCCCGGGGAGCCCAGCGGCATGGTGAGCGGTGGGGATCGCTAGTTCCTGCCTTCCTCCCCAGGCCGGGGTCCGTGCCCCTGCAGGGCTGGGCTGGGACTGGCGGAGCGTGGGGAGCCGGCTGGGGGCTCCGGAGCTGCGGACCAGGCTGCCAAAGCAAAAAAAAAAAAGAACCATGGCAGGGCGACCGGAATGTGCCACCCCAAGATTGGCCGGAATGCCATCCCTTACAATGGGCCGCCCCAGGCACGTGCTTTCTCGTCTGGAGCCGGCCCTGTGTGTGTCCTGCTGTGGGTGCTCCATGTCAGGGGGCGATGTGTCTCTGCACTGCAGAGGGGAGATTTTTGGTAGCAGTGCTTAGTCGGGGCGTGCGTGCGCAGTAGTAGTCTCGCAGTGCCATTGGCACCTCATGTAGCACGTGCACGACCTCAACCGTCCTTGGCTGCAGATGGAACTCTGTGGCAGTGCTGCCTCTTCGTTTTATTCTCTATAGAAATAATTAGATTAGTTGTAGTTTAGTAAGTCTCGTTTTCTTAGATACTGTTTCTTCCCCCCCACCCCAAAATTATTTAATTGTTCTCTTCTGCCCCCCTTCCCCCTTTCCCTGTTGGGAAACTTCTGTCAGCCGCGATGTCTGGCTCGCCTGACTTTAAACACTGTGACTCTTGCTGTGAGGCAGTGCCGGTCTCTGACAGCCACTCGTCATGTGTCTGTTGTTTGGGGGAGACTCATATCCCTCAAAAATGTGCCTACTGTAATAATCTGAAAGCCAGGGCACGGTGTGACCAAGATCTCTGCCTCAAGATGATTTTAATAGAAAAGTCCCTTCAGCCTACTCCTCAAGGACCAAAATCACCAGCAGATGGTTCCCCAAGCAAAACCTCTGCTAATGGGAGTGCTCAGTCTTCCAAAACTTCCAGGAAGCGAGCCACTACTTCCATCATAGGGACACTCAGAAAAAGACGAGGTCCCCGGCAAGGTCACTATCCTTGGTAACTCTGTGCTAAACAGGGTTGCAGGATGTACTGAGGGAACAAGAAAGTATGTTCTATGTTCCTCCACCACTAGCCACTTGCAGCGCCATTGTTCTGTCTCTATCTCAGCTGAGCTCTGCATTTAAAAAGGGTACATGTGGATGCGGTGAGAGTGGAACTTTGAATTGCTGCCCTTTAAGAAGTACCATAAAAGGAATGTATTTTATATAAAATGCCCAAAGCATATACTGTTTACTTCTGAGGCTTGAATTCATCGTTCTTGAACCTGAGGAGAACATGTTCTCGTTCAGGCCCGCCCTGGCATGTGTTAAATATTAAGTATAGTCACACAGTTTGTATTTTTTTTCCTGATATGTGTCTTAGTGAAAGAGCTGATCCCAGTTATTGCAAAGATCGAATTACAGAAGGTGCCAACATTAACAAGTCATTGGTTACTCTGGGAATTGTCATCTCCACCTTAGGTATGTGTAATAAAATGAATATTTTTTATTTTGAAAGATAGTTATGCACAATGCCACAAGACCCCTTATTGTGTGCTGTATTTGGAAAGTGTGTTAGATTTAGAATACTGAGCTGAGGAGAACAGCTCTGGGGCCCCTTCATGTACTAGTTTGACATTATAGAATGAAAATAGCCATCATTAGAAAAAATGTAGTGATATTTAAACTGATTTCTAAAAAAGCGTTTTCGAATAAACAATTGATAATGGTTTAAATACTTTGATATCAGAGGACAGCCAGTGTAAAATACAATATTAATGATATTTTTATTATCTCAGCCAATTAGTAATAAAGACACACCAAATGCAGAAGACAAGAAATTACTATCTGAGCCCATTGAAGATAATCCCTCTCAGAAAATATCTATTGTATTACCTACAGCACAAAACTCTCAGATGTTCAGCAGCTGCCAGAGCATAAACAGCATAACTAGTGAAGGGGACAACCACGTGAGCAGTCACTCTCCAGGCAGTGTCAGCGGAACTAGGCGTCAGGCTTACATCCCGTACCGTGACTCCATCCTCACCTGGCTTCTGAAGGACAGTCTAGGGGGCAACTCCAAGACCATCATGATCGCCAGTGAGTTCAGCTTTCTATTCGCTTTGTATGTGGTATGGCGTACTGAAAAATAAGCCACTACTGTGGTGTGAGGTTCATTGCATCATTTGGGTCCTGGTCCTGCAAAGATTTTCATCCATGCTTAATTTCATGCACAGGGAATAATCTTATTGAAGGAAGTCAGTGGAACTAAATTTAAGCTTGAACATGTGTCTTTCTAAGATTGGGGCTTTGATCAGCGTTATTATAGGATGTGTTTATTAATTAAGGGATTCTGATAAGTCATTCTCTGTGGACTTGAGATAAGTCCCTAAAGACATTTTAAGTTTTTAATAAATTTACTATTTTTATAAAAACAGTAATCTCTTTAAATCATCTTCATTTAAAGCCATCTCTCCTGCTAGCTCCAGCTACAATGAGACCATGAGTACTTTGAGATATGCCTCAAATGCCAAAAACATTATTAACAAGCCCCGGGTGAATGAGGTGAGACACGACCTTCTGATTGTGTTTAATTTTTACTATGTTTTAAATTTATTCAGCATACCCCCCTCCCCCAATAGAAATTCTGAATTTTATTTTAACGTCCTTTCTTAAGAGTTGTTTTGGAATAACCATCTGTAAGGAAAGTCTTTGTCTTCTTTTACTATATTATTATTTTTAAGTATGATTAATAATTATCTCTCAATGTTTCAGGATGCAAATGTAAAACTGATTAGAGAACTACGAGAGGAAATAGATAGATTAAAAACTATGCTGATGAGCTTTGAACTGGTATGTATGAATTCTTATCTAACTGAACCCTCAGTAATGCTTTTGCTAGCTATATAAACATATTTTTATATATTACACCTTTCTTTACATTTGTTGAATGGGACTAGGAGGGAATGAATCTATTAATTCTTTGAGTGTTTTTATAGTGGTTTTGTACCAGCTGCACCTCTGCCAGAAAGGCTACACTCTCTGGTATTGTTTCTTAATGACCCTTAAGCATAAGCTGTTAAGCAATTATTAGAAAGGGCCTCCTCTCAATCTCTAGGATGGATAGGCTGACTTGGCGACCTAGGCAGACCCTACGGTGAAATATACATTCCATTATACAGTACAGGAGCACCAAGCTAGTAACAAAATCAGATACAATATTAATAATTAATAAAGAGCACCCCCACACTTGTCATAGTACTTTTCTAAGAAAGTGATTAATAGGCCTTGAGTAGTTTAGGGTTAGAATGTAGCCTTCACTCCCTGAGAGACGATGGGAACGGACTCTGAGACATAATATATAGCTAGCATTCTTTGTTGTTTTCCTGCATGTTTCCTGCTTCATTTGGACCAGCTGTGAGCTTTAGCACATTTGTGTCACTACTCCTCTTGCAAGTAGAGGCCAAGACTACACTAGCCCTGAGCTTCCCCACACAGAGATGGGGCAGTGCAAAAGCAGTATTAAACTATTCTTCACAGTATCATACAAGCAGTAAGTAACTAGAAGGTATTTCCTGAGTAAATTTGGAGGGTAAAATCAAATGTCTGCCTAGATTATCTTTACTTCTCTGGCTTCACTTCTCTGAAATCAGAGTGTTTAACAAAACTTGCCTGCCTGAATTGTGAGTAAGAAAACACAGAGATGTCTATAATATTTGTTTGTACAGAGGAATTCTAGCCCTTCCTGGAGTGATGACAGAGATGGAAATCTGACAGAATTGGTTCTTCAGAATGAAATGAAGGTGGGTATATTTTATTAGTCTCCCCTCACACACACTTTGATAGGGACACTGACATATTTTTAAACAACAGTGAAAATGTTCCCATATTAATGCTTTCTTGCCTGCTGGTGGAATATTCATATTTTTCAGCAACAGTCATTCGTAAAACTTCCATTCTACTGAATGGCAGGTATAGTGCATTCAATTCACAACAAGCATTTAAAATGTCATTAATAGTACATGGTATATGTTGTCAGTAGCTACCAGTGTGGTGCTCTGCTCTTGTTCGATGATAACAGTCGGCTGCGTGCGTGTTCCCTCTGTGTGCTGCCCCAGTTCTGCGCAGATAGCTGACACAGCAAACCCTGAGAGAACCCCCAAAGACTACAGACTCTAGTAAGCTACGAAGGTTTATTGTCAAATGAGCACAGTAATAGTTTCCTATAGACTCTACAGGACATACTACGAATATGTGCCCCCTGGCAATGGACAGTCAGTGGCGGGACACTCCACTGCCCCCTAGGCTGGACAAAGATGTGCACTCCGGGACCTACTTTTATACAGTTACAGGACAGATTACTCTTCCCTACTGACGTATTGAAGTACAGCCCCTTGACTCATTGGGGGCTGTCTCCTCCTTTGATCATGTTGTTTCAAAGAGATCTATCCATCATGATGTCCTTTTGACCCTGTCTTTAAGATGCACGTGCTTCTAGCAGCCCTCTTCTTGCCAACTTCTGTGAGTGGGGCCTGCCGCTGGCTCACAGCCCAGCTTTTGCTTCGCAATGCCTGGAAGTACTTTGGTTCAGGCTTCAGGCCTCAGACTGGGCCTCTGACACAAGAGGTTATGTTTCAGGGCCTCTTCTTACTACAGTATATTTTTCATATCTGTGTAACCTGGCCATTTTAGAGTTTTCTGTAGCACCCATCACTGTAGTAACAATGTGCTTCTCAGGTAAATTAGATGTATGAGTTGAGGTACCAAGTGGACTTCAAGGAGAGGAGTTTTCTACCCTTCTCTCTGAAGTGGTTAGGAAGACAGAAACAATGAAAAGTGAGAATTTTGTTGTTTGGGGCTGGGAAGGAGGTGGGGGGGGTCGCATCCTCTCTCCCCTGCCGTGGCCGCCCCTGACCTGGGGTTGGGAAGGAGGAGGGTCTTTCCCCGGCAGCCACAGCCCTGGAACTGGGGAAAGTCACCTCTTTCTCTGTCTGCTGCAGCCCTGCACATCCCAAATTCCCTCCCCCACCTCCTGTTCTCACCCCATTGCTGCCTACCCCCTATTCCTCCCAAGGCCACCACCTCACCTTACATGTGCGTCTTCTCCAGGGTCCAAGTACCTAATTAGTGGAGCCACGCCTGCGTGGCTCCACTAATTAGATGGGTGGCACTTCATTCTCCTGTGTGCACCAGCCCAGGCGTGCACCTTAGAGGGAACTATCTGCGGACCACCTGAATGGAGCTTGCAGACCACTGGTGGTCCACGGACCACAGTTTGAGAACCTCTGAGCTAAGTCCCAGCTTCCCCTTGGAATGGTGTAACGTGCACCTGCATTTTTGCACACATGAAATACAGTGCAGATACAATTCTAATTGCATGTCTAGTTATGTGCTTTTCACCTAGAATTGGAAGTACCCAGGTTTGTGCCTACAATTCAGTGGAAGATAGAAATTTTGCAAGAGTAAATTGCATTTGCAAAAGGGAAGCTGTTCTTTTGGAAAAAAATGATTTTTTGAGATATACCTAACTTGCTGTGTAAATAAAATCTTTAGTGTTAACTTCCTTTTCTGACCTTCCTTAAGATTGAACAGCTGACCAAAGACTGGAGCGATAAGTGGACTGACAGGAAAGTCATAATGGAAGAATACAGTGTGGACATCAACAAAGAAAAAGCTGGAGTGACAATAGATTCCAATTTACCTCATTTAATGGCAGTGAATGATGATATCCTCAGTACTGGAGTTGTGCTTTATCATCTCAGGGTGAGACATAATCATTTGTTTCATTTTGTCTGACTTTCAATAGGTGTCTTTCCTTTGGGAATAGAGAACCAGATTGTGTGGCATTACAATGGCAATTATCAAACAGCAAAAAGCTGTATTGCAAGTCACACACCAAAAACTCTACAAAAAGACAGTCACGTTGGTAACAGGACAACAATAAAAAACAAAGGGGAAACCATCTGTTCTCCACAATCTGTACAAAACAAGATGCATTCAGCTGAATATTAAGATGACCTTTATCAGTGCATATACAAAACTTATTCAAAAGTGTGTGTGCATGCATGCAAAAGCAAACTAGCTGCCCAGTTATGCAAGCAAGCAACTGTTTGCACACACAGAATGGGTGCCTGTCACTTTTTGTGGGCTCAGTCACAGTTCAGGGCAACTGCTCCTGTATTCCCCCTCCATGGTCCAGCATGGGCACCCATTCTAGGCTCCAGGCTCCACAAACTGTCACCTCTCTTGGACAGAAACCCATGTCTCTCTCCCTCCTGACCAGTTTTTTTTCCAGGCTGCACAGTTCCCTGCCTACATTGTGATATCCCCAGCAATTCAGACTGCCTAAACAAGCCAACATCTGTGTTTTACCATAATTACCAGCAGTTATAAGCTACCACACAGCCCTTTTTAAGGAGGCACTTTTATTCTTAAGGTGAAAGCCATACAGAAAAAACATATAGAAAAGCATAAAAGTTCTTGTGTGCGTGCCAAAAGCTTTCCAGAGGTTACCCATCAGTTTTATGGCACCTTAGTAGGCCAAAGTCCTTCCCGTTTTTCCCAGGGATTGGATCCCCTGGCGTAGAAGGTTCTGTCCGTTTGCTGGATCAGAACAAAGGCCCTGAGTCAGTTTGAACTCAGGCTATTTATTCAAAAGTCTCTTCTTTGTCTATGGGTCTCTGCAGAATCAACTTTGAAATACTTTATATGCCCCCGTTCGGGTGGTGGTACTTCTCTGGAGTGAATTTGCCTAATCGCTCTCCACTGTGCTTAGTTTCTGGAAGGCAGTGGTCACCCTCCCCCATGGTATTACATACAATCCCTGGTGCACAATGATGCATAAGAGGGATAGCTCAGTGGTTTGTGCATTGGCCTGCTAAACCTAGGGTTGTGAGTTCAATCCTTGAGGGCGCCACTTAGGAATCTGGGGCAAAATCAGTACTTGGTCCTGCTAATGAAGGCAGGGGGCTGGACTTGACCTTTCGGGGTCCCTTTCAGCTCTATGAGATAGGTATATCTCCTTATATTATAAGATTTCCCTAATTTGTAGAAAATTTGCCATATCTGTCACAGGATTAATTGTTTGTGTCAAAGTATGCATGCAGAAGCTTAAAATTTGGCCAGGTGTTCTAACATAAACATGTTATTACAGCCTTTACATGGAATGAGTGATGGGTAGTAGCCAGGAGCACCGGAATCTGTATAGAAGTGGGGGTGGGTGGTACCAGTGCCAGAACTGTGGCCCACCACCGGCACCTCCTCTTCTCTCCGAGGCCCTACCCTCTGGCCAGGCTGGAAGCCAGAGCCGGGCTGTGGTAAGAGCCGCCCAGGGAGCCCAGGACTTTGCTTAGGAGCAAAGTCTCACTGCAAGTCCTCCCAGTAGAAACCACTTTTTAAAATGGGACTTAGGCTTCTAGGTCACTCGGGTCAGATTTTGAAAAGTATTTAGGCACCTAAACCAGCAGATAAGCTTCTGGTGGGACTTTCAAAGTGCCTAGCACCTAGCTGCCATTGATTTTTATGAGAGTTATCTACCTGGCAGCTTTTGAAAATCCCACTAAGCACTTATCTGCATCTTTAGGTGCTTAAATATCTCTAAAAATCTCATCCTTAGGCACTTCTGAAAATTTTACCCAGTCTTTTAGACACCTGGTTTTTTGGCTGCAGCATGCCACTTTGACTGTTTGATGCCACAAGCTAGTACTGGCATGCAGTGATATGGCACATCTAGCTTGCCTGCTATAGACAAAAAGCCGGTTTGCAACATGCATTTGTTTCACTGACATTTATCTTTATGACACAAAATGCTGCAAACCCTCCTCCTTTTTTAGAATCCTAACTCTTTTTGTGACAGCAAACGTGACTTGGAGATCAGGTCAGCGCAATGATCACAATTATTGATCAGGGCAATGCTTTTTTTCTTTGTGTGACATTGTGAAGAATATTGTCTGGGATAGTTCATCCTTAGAACAGCCTGTCAGGTTATCTGTTAACCTGGTTTTCCAGCACAAACAAAAATGTGTTTGAGGGAAATGTTACTAGCTTTCTTGACCTTTTAATGTTATCTCTGTAGTCTGAATATTTTGCTCTGTAACACTAGTTTTATGTCTCCCTCTCTTTGATTTCAACCATCTAAAACTGAAATTCAAACCCAATCATTATGGTAACTGCAATTGTTATGGTAAACAATGGTGTAGACTTTGAATTGTCATTGAAATTACTTATTTATTATTACATGATTTCTTTTCTTATTAAATGTATTAATCCAGTTGTCAAGTCCAGCAACTGTTCCTGAGAGCTCCCATAAAAGAGTGCTGTATGCTAGAATTCAGTTCAGGAATGGCGTGCAATGTCTGTATTAACAATTCCTATGAGCAATGTATTTTTCTTCTTCCTTTTCTAAACTAACTCCTTCATTGTCTTAAACTAGCTTGTGAGCAACAGGCCGTTTCAAATGGCTAGAACATTTTGTAGAGGCAAGGTGGGTGAGGTAATATCTTTTATTGGACCAACTTCTGCTGGTGAGAAAGACAAGCTTTTGATCCACAAAGAGCTCTTCTGAAGCTTGTGTCACTCACCAATAAAAGATATTACCTCACCCACCTTGTCTCTCTGAGATCCTAGGACCAACACAGTTACAATTGCACCACATAGAACATTTTGTGTCATTCACATACTGAGAATGCAATTATGCTGTTCTACTATGTGTGTTAATTGCCTTGGAGGAAGAATATATTGCTCCACCGGAGCAAAAACCTGCTTTAGATGCCTATGAAACCTGCTTCAGAAAACAGAAAAGCACTGTTAGTTTAAAATGTGATTTTGACTTAAAAATAGTATAGCTTTTAACTAGGGCTGTCAATTAACTGCCATTAATGCACAGCACAGTTAATGCGTTAATTTTTTTAATGCATGTTAATCTCAGACTCTCTGGGTAGGAAGGCAGCATGAGCTGCTCCGAAGAACCTGTCTGGTCAGGTGCAGTAACACAAGCCGCCACCAGAGGGCGGGAAGAGGAGGCTACAGAAAGTAAGGTAGTTCTCATCCCTGCGTTTTTAAAGTAAAAACAGGACAGCCAGGGGCTTGCTGGAGCGGCCCCCTGCCTTGCAGGGCTCACCCGAAACGCCCTCCCCATGCCTCCCGGGGCTGGAGCACGATTAATTTTTTTAATCGCTTGACGGCCCTACTTTTAACATCATCAGTGCTGTAGAAGGCATTGGGTCGCACCTCTGGTGGAGTTCCTGAGGAGTTCAAAATTTGTATTAGGTCAGATTGCAGTTGCTCAAAGCAACCGTAACTTCAGTTACTCTGGGGATAGGACAACCGAAAAAGTGGCCAGAACTGGCTAAAAAGGGAGCCTGGTCAGGGAAGCCAGTCAGTGCTCTGATTCTGCACCTCCAATCAGCTTTGCATTGATGGAGCTGTGATGGAAATTAAAGCTGCCCCATGCAGAAACCCTACAAAGGCAACAGTATAAACAGTGCTTGCACTCCACAGGGGTAAATTACCCATGAGGCACAAGGGGTATAATTGGTGCAAGGAGGTATAACTTACCCCTTTCTCTGCCAACTTTTTTAATATTTGACCCCTGATTGTAGTTGCAAGACAGTTTAGGTCAGTATGTTATTGTTCAAGGAGTCCTGCATTTAATGGCCATGCCCTCCATGCACAGTGTTCTTTGTGGAACAAATTCAGATACCAAAGACCAAATTTTTAAATTACCTTCTATATGTGAGCCTGCAAATACTGAACACATACATACGGTTCAGGTAGTTACATGGAGTTTTGTATTCAATTTGCAGGTGTAGGTTTGGGGCCCATTTGAAAAATTGGTCTAGGAGATTTCTTTTTTGCAAAGGTGCATCTTTCAAGGTGCATCTTTCTTGCTCTTTGCTTTGACATTTTTCTTATTTGGAAATAGTAGCATTTGGAATTTGTGCTTGTAGATCTTTTTAGTGATTCATTCTCACATTTGATCTGAATGCTTTTATTTGAACTAAATATGTAGACATAACCCTCTCTTCCATCATTAAAAAAAAAAAGGTAAATTGCATATCCACAACTTTGGTGGTGCAGTCCAAAGGCAGAATTTTATTACTACTATGAAGGTATATTACCAGTGAGGCAACTAAAGGTCTCCTCCATTGAGCGGCATAGAATACATAGATATTGTCACTGGCACGTAGTCTGTGGAATTATTTTTGTTAGCCATTTCAAAATAAATAATTTAAAGTATTAGTGATGCAGCTGTAAATGTCAATGTTAGTAGACATTCATATTGAATTTCGACAACATTAATTCAACTGTATATAGAAAGTCGTCACTACTACTTAAAGCACACTTTTTTTTAAAGCTAGTCCTTCCATATTATAATGTTCTGATTTGCAAACAGTAAAGTATTCCACATGCTACTTTTGACGAAACCTAAAGTGGTTAACAGATCTCCATTTTAATGGAGAAAAGCTAGTCTGAAGGCTCACCAATAGGACTCATATAAGGCCTCTTATTAAGTTTGTTTCATTTACACTAACATCTTTGTCCCCTCTTTCTTTGCTCCTAGATGCTGCCTTTTCTTTTCTTTGTGCTTTGCCTCTTTTAGGCTCTGGTGTCTGTTACTTCCATCTGAACAACAAGAAGGTAAAATTTAGTGTTCCTTATGTTTTTGTGCTACAACATTGCACTTTCTGTACTTTTTGCAGGGAAGGAAAAGGCAGCCAATTTTGAATCATATTGTGCAAGCAGTGTGTTATCCATTATTCTCT